TATTCTTATACTTGGCCATTTCAGAGCATGCAATGAGTGCAATGATAATCAGAGAAGAGAAGGGAGAATAAAGGGCAGTATACTATGAGAGTAAAACCCTAGCAGGCGCAGAGACCAGGTACTTATCCCTGGAGAAATTGACACTGGCCTTAGTGATGGCTTCCAAAAAGTTGAATCATAATTTCCAGGCCCACAAGATTGTGGTGTGGGCTGAGCATCCCTTGAAGTCCCTGTTGCAGCAAAGAGATCCGACAGCAGGTAGGGTAGCCAGATGGGCAGTGGTATTGGGCCAATATGACGTAGAGTTTAGACCCAGAATGGAAATCATAGGCTAGGTTCTAGCTAACTTTGTGGCCGAGTTTACACCTGGTGCCATCCTACGTCGGGCTCCGGTGCGCAGCGACTTAGGATATCCAGGGGAACAAGAAGAGACCTAGCTGGGAATGAAAAACCCCACAGCAGAAGAGAAGAAAGAGGAAAAACCCAAGCCCTGCGATATCTACATCGGCGACTCCTTCCGCTCTTTTGTTGATGGGAGTTAAAACCGTCAAGGACCGGGGACAGGAGTGGTGTTGGTATCACTAAATGGGAAAATATTAGAACAGTCTATCCGTTTGGGGTTCAAAGCCTCAACTAATGAAGTAGAATATGAGGTATTAATTGCAGGGTTGTAGTTAGCAACAGCAATGGAAGCCGACGAGGTGGTAGTCTTTTGTGACTCCCAACTTATTGTGAACCAGGCAATAGGCGAGTATGTAGCCTGAGATGAAAGAATGATAGCCTATGTCAAAGAAGTTATTAGACTACTAGCCTTATTTCAGGATTTCTGACTACAGCATGTTAGCCGAGATGACAACAACCATGTCGATGCCTTGGCTAACCTAGCTAGTGCAATGAAATCAGGGGAGGCAAGGTGGAACCACTAATCACAGAGTATGAAGCAATGTGTGTGGAGATAGGTCCAAGTTAGATGGATGCAATAGTGATGTTTCTTAGGGACAACAAGTTACCAGATGATCGCAAAGAGGCACACAAGACCAAACTAAAGTCGGCAAGGTTTAGCCTAATAGTAGAAAGACATCACTACAGAAGGTCTTTTACTGGTCCCCTTTTGAGGTGTGTGCATCCCTCCCAGGTTGAAGACTTCTTGGATGAAATACATGAAAGGGTATATGGCAGCCATGCTCGGGGCAGATCACTTGCTCACAGGGCCATTACTTAAGGGTACTGGTGGCCGTACATGCAGAAGGATGCTGAAGCCTACGTCAGAAAGTGCAAAAAGTGTCAGAGGTTTGCACCTTTGATACATCAACCAGCCGTAGATTTGAACCCAGTAACCAGCCCTTGGCCATTTGCCCAGTAGGGCATGGACCTAGTTGGACAACTGCTCTAAGCAACTGGAAAAAGGAAGTTTCTGCTGGTAGCAACTAAGAACTTCATATGGAAGAACATCATCACCAGGTTTGGGATCCCGAGGGCAATAATAGCAGACAGTGGTACACAGTTTGACAGTAAGCTAATCAAAAGCTTCTGTGCAAAGTACAAAATCAAGAACTACTACTCTATTCCAAGTTTCCCTTAGAGTAATGGTCAGGCAGAAGCAACCAATAAGACTATCTTGGATAGGATCAAAAAGAGGCTGAAAGCAACAAAGGGAAAATAGGTAGAGGAGTTGCCCAATGTACTTTGGACATATCAGACTACGCCGAGAAAATGAATTTGGGAGTCTCCATTTGCCATGACTTATGGCACTGAAGCAGTTATCCCACTAGAAGTCGGCAGCATTCCGAGGATCAGAACCCAAGAAGTGGAAAATGGTACTAATGAGGCATTTCTAGCCCGAGATCTAGACCTACTAGAGGAGAAAAGAGAGAGAGAGCAGCAATTCGGCTGGGGGCATACCATGCAACAACTTGCTAGGGCTTACAACAAGAAGGTCAACCCAAGAGAGTTAAAAGTGGGGGGACCTTGTGCTGAGGAAAATGGTTGACAACAAGAAGGATCATAGGGAGGGCAAACTATGCCCAAATTGGTCGCTAGTAATAGGGCATATCGACTTGACGACAGTGATGGCAAAGAGTTGCTAAGACCCTGGAACACTTGCAACTTGAAGTTTTTCTATCATTAGATTTTTGTTTTTTGAAGTTTTTGTCATAATTTTATTAGTCGAAGTAATAATAAAATTTTAGTTTGATGAATTTGAAATTTGTGTGATAGGACTGACCAGTTTCATGGTGATGTTTCTGAATGAAACATGACGAATAACTTAGACATATTATATGGCATAGTTGAATTATACTTGCATATAATAGAGTTGAACTAAGTTGGCGATGTTTCTGAATGAAACACGACGAATAACTTAGACTCATTATATGACAGAGTTGAATTATACTTGCATATAATGGAGTTTAACTAAGTTGAATTAACCTGGACTTGCCATATTGGCAGAGTCAAACTCAGAATGGAACTAAGTTCATTAACAGAGAAACCAAGGTTAAAACACCTTGGGAAGTCTTTGTTTGAATCTGACTTCGGTGAAAGACTATAGACATATGCTTAATGTGAACTTAAGTGGAACTTAGGTTCACATTAGGGGGCAGGGAACTAGGAATGATAAATAAACTTAAGAGTTTGAGACTTGTTAAAATTTTTAGAGAATTTTCAGAAAAATTTACAAGTCAAAATAGGCTTAACACTTGTTAAAAATTCGGAGAAATTTACAAGTTGGAGTTAGCCGAGGTAATCATGAATAAAGAATCCGAAATACAAATTACCCGAGGTAACCAACCAGGTTGTCCAAGCTTGGAAAGGGTGAAGTCTTAATAGAAGATAGCATATGAAGGTAAAAAAATAATACTGAATAACACTTTAAAACTATCAAAAGCAATACTGAATAACACTTCAGTATTGCTTTCTTTCCTTCATATGCTACCTTCTATTAAGACTTCACCTTTTCTAAGGGTTGACTGAGGAACACATTCAAGGTTTATATCCAAGGTATTACATCCTAGAGTTATTATACAGTTAAGGTATACTTTGAAGAAATACAAAAATATTTTAAGTATGGAAGCATGAAAGGCATGAAAGAAAGCAATAAGCATGTATAGAAGAAAGGAAGGCATACATTCAACACTTGGAAGAAAATATAAGACTTGTATTTAGAAAAGGACAACTTGTTCAAGTACATAAGTAGGCACTTCGGCCCGACAAAAACAAAACACTGTTCAAAACAAAGGAAAAAAAATACAAAGAAGAGATTCTAAACAAACTGCTCTGCATCGGTGGTTGGATGTGTTTCGGCCTCAGCAGATAGTTGGAAGAGCTTCTTGGCAGCCTTTTCGGCCTCGATCTCGACCTTGATCCCTAGAAAAGTCTTATCAAGGCTCTTCTCGGCGCTTTCAACCTCGGCTTCAGGTGTGCTCTTGGGGACCTCGTCCTCGTCATCGTGAGTCAAGTCCACGACTTGCTCATTCAGAGTTAGGAACTTGGCCCCAGCAACTTCAGTCTTCTCAGCCTTGTCAGCCTCAACTTCTTCATCCCCCTCAACCTCATCCTCAGATTGGCTTAGAGCATGAGGAAATGGCATGACAAGTTGGCTCTCGTCCTAGAGGGGCGAGATGTCAGGGACAGCCAACTCCTTCAAAGCAGCCATCCAACCAAGGGTGTAACCCCTGCTGCATGCCTGTTTGACTTGTCTTTTGTATTCATCACGGACGTCGACTGCCCATTCGCCATAGGCTTTCTCATATGCCTCATTTATCTTGGTTGCCTTGGTAGCAAGCGTCGTTTGCAAGTTAGTTTTGGCTTGAGAATCCTTATCTTTGGCCTCTTTTGCCTCGGCTTGAGCAACCTCGACAACATTTTTCGTAGCCTCGGTGCGGTCTTCAGCTTTCTTCAGGGTTGACTCAGTGGCCTTGGCCTGATCTAGGAGACCTCGAATACGAGCCTCGACTTTGTTTAGTGAAGTAAGGAGTTTGGCTGCCTCCTTTGTTTTTTGGGTTAGTTCTTTCTTCAACTCATCAGTCTTGACTGCAAGGGAGTGATCCTGTTGGATAGCCTGCAAGAATGCGAAGAAAATTTGTTAAGTATGAAAACTGGTGTTGAAATTAAGCTAAAAGTTACAAGTGTTGGCACTTACCAAGACACAATGTTGCATCATCATCGTATAATTTTCGTACTCTGAAAGCTCGACCATTCGATTGATGTCGGCTAGGAGTATAATGGCGGTGGAAATGGCGGCATCAACTTCCAAACTGTCGAGAACACTGTCTCCAGTTAGAAGAGGTCGATCTCCGACGTTGAAAGATGGAGTCCAAGGAGCGTCGGCGTGAAATCCAGAGGGTTTAGAAAACTCGTTGGACCTTGGCTTTTTTTGATTGAGGTTGGTCTGATGTCTCGGCCTCGACAGGCCTCTTCTCAGCAGACTTCTCTACTTCAGCCAATTTTGAAATTGGCACTGTGTCCACCTCGGTGGCGCTAGGCTTGGCCTTGGCCATTTTAACCATTTTGCCTTCGGTTTTGGCTGTGATTGGGAAGGACTGAAGGAGTGAACTAACACCATACCTAGGATGTCAGCAAGAAGATCGTTTGGGATGATTTTTGCACGACCCATTTCTTCGGCAGTAGCGGCAACGGTAACTTTGGTACCGAAACGGATTGTTGGAAGTGCAGTAGGTGGGTTTGCTAGATCGTAAGTTGACGCCTTAGAGGTTTGGCGTTTACAACTACGAGTTCTATCAATAGGAGCGAGAACTAGAGCTCGGTGTCGGCGTTGACGTTGGGATAGAGGAATTAGTTGAGGGGCATAAGTGGTTTGCTGCTCAACTGGGTCAGAGGTGGAGGCCTAGTCTGGCCTTGGAGATGAAGCTGTTGGAGGAGTTAAAGCAGATAGAGGAGTCTTGCTGCACCTAGGAACATTAGCAAAGCTGACTTGTATGTGGGGATATAGATGAGTAGCAAGAGAGCTTTGCGAAGATCAATGGGCAGGCCCAACAACCTCTTCAAGTCTTTGCTGGTGAAGAAGGATTAGCAAAAGTCCTTCGATGGTTGGGAAAGAGCTGCAAAAGGTAGAAAGCAGACATTAGAATAGATAAAGGAAATAAAGTGGTAAAGTCTTAAACAGAGAAGTTGACACTTAGTTCTTACCCTCATCCTCTTTAAACACCGATCGGCGCAAAGGGAAGAGATGAAGATCATCATCTGGAGCAAATTCCCAGTTACCTGAGACAATCAGGTAATCATCTACAGCACCCTTGTTGGAGTCTGAGAGGTCGGCTATGATTTTGTAGGCTGTGGATCTCAGTTTGAGGTAAAAAAATGTAGCATTTTTCAGACTTTAGGCCACACATGGTATAACAAAATTAGATGTCGGCTAGTGTTATCCTAGCATTTTCTTGACGAGCAAGGGCAATTATACCATTAATGACCTTATAGGAGTTAATGGCCAACTGCATAGGGTTGAGTTTGCAGTAGTAAGGATTTCCCTAAACAAGATGTCTAAGGGAAGCCGAAGTCCACACTCGATAAATGCTACCACATGAAAGGGCATGGAGTCCCTAACTGGCATGATAGAGTCTTCCTCTTTAGCCAACCTGATCTGAACGTCGGCTAGAATACAAAAGTCTTGCCTGAAGTGCTCCAGCTTGGCAGGGGTGTCCACTCTCCACCTAAACATTTCCATGATGTTGGCTTAGGGAGGATTAGTGCAAAATTTCAGAAAAGAATATTTGGTATGGGTTTGAAAACCTCGGCTAAACCTAAACTGGCACCGGAGCTAGGATTTTGAAGATCTAAAGGGATCTTGTTTTAATTTTCCTAAAGAACAAGGTTCTAAATCAAATCCCAAGCCTATGTCTATATGGAAACAAAAATCAAAGGCAAGAATCTAGAAACAAAGTAAGAAGACCAAAAAAGAAATGTAATTCAGAAATCAGGGGTGAAGTAGAAAAATAGGTGTGTACATCCAAAACTTCAAGACACGGAGTGAGTGTGTGAAGAACAGTGTGCAAATGTCTCAAGCAAAAAACATGATTGGCATTTTCGAAAGACTACATAGATTCAAGAACAGGAAATTGATTTATAATTAAAGAAAAAACAGAGTGTAACCATGAAAACGGATTCAATAGCAATGAAATAGACATAATGTAAAGAAGGAACATATTCAAAATCATGGAGGGCTGAAACTGAAGTTGAAAGAAACTAGGAACTCACCATTTGGGTCCGAGGTCGAGGACACCGGTTTGAGGTTTGCCGTAGTCAGACGGTGACAACGAGTGGAGCAAGACAGTAAATGCTTCGCCGGAGGAGGTGAACGGAGCATGGTTGTAGGTAGCTTGAAGGTATAAAAATGGAGGTTTTCACAGAGAGAGAGAGAGAGAGAGAGAGAGAGAGAGAGAGAGCTTGAGACAAAGACGGAAATCAAAGTTGTAAAGTGATAAGATGAAGAGAGAGAGAGAGAGTTTTGTTGAAACTTGAAAAGGCGGCAAAATGAAATGAATACACCTTGGACGACGTATCTGTCAGGTGGCGTGCGCAAAAACGATGCAATCTAATGGGGCTTGTCAGGTACAAACTAATTAGAGAAGGACGCGTGGCGGAAACGGTTGAGGAAACCATGCGTGACAGCTCATACATAGATAAAACTCTTCGAGTTCTTGATTTAATGAAGCCAAAAACCTTGACTAGAGGAACGATCTCGGTTAAGATCCTCAAAGAACTTGGTTCTTGGTTCTTGATCCCTAATAAAAACAGACAGTTAAGTACTGGGTACTTGAAGCCGACAAGTAATGATCTCGGTTGAAGGAAGGAATGAATTTTTAGTCGACATAGTATTTGAACAAATAATGTAGGTTCCATCACCTCAGGTTGCCGAGGTAACAAAACCTAGGGGACAGTTATGGGGAAATAATTTATGAATAACAGCACGTGGCCAAGGTGATGCCGAAGTGTCAGCCGAGGTGCCACGTGGCCTGGTCAGGCGCTGAGGTGATCTCGGCTAGGCCGAGGTTATTTGCGGAGATACCGGAATCCGAGATGAGTGGATAAGGGACAAGAGTCCTAGAACAGGGGAGGATCTCAGTCTGGATAAAGATAAAGCTCTTTGGAGTTTATCCCAATCTAACTAAAAGTCCAAGATGAGCATTGAGCCTGAGTCCATTGAAGTTAGTCCTCTATAGGGATCAGGTCATTGCTGACTATAAAAGCAGGGCACCCTCGTGGGTCTGAGGTATGTGTGATATATTGTAACCAGTAAGTTCTTTCTTGTGAGATAAGAACAATTGGCTATCTTTGAGAGATAATTACTGACTTGATCATTGGAGTGCCCTCGAGTGGACGAACCACCTCCAGATTTTTATCTTTCTGTGACAGGTTGTTCGGGCTTAATCTATTCTGCCAATGCTCTCATGCTGAGTTTCCTTGTTTGGTTGTGTGGTCAAAAATCAACACCCACAAAAACCTATAATAAAAAAGTGAGTCCGATTTTATTCGCACATAAAGAGTGTGTAAATAATACACACATTTTAATTGGTTGAAAACAATAATTTATCATTTTGCGTGAAGTCATTACACTTTTGGGGTATGAATCTACATATTTTGACTTATCACATTTTGAGTATTGTTCACACACTAAAAAAGTGTGTGAACAAATTTATTTTTCAAAAAAGTGTATTAACCTCATTCAAAATGATAAATCCTACTATTCTAATGCATTAATACTAAGTAAATTAATTATGAACTAATTTTATGTGATGAACTTAATTATTTATAAGTTACCAATAAGTTCTAAAATACGTATTTTATCCCAATAACTTTTGATATATAGATAAGAGGGGGAAAAAAATTTGGTCAATGCCTTGGGGACTGGGATTCTAATGTTGGGGGGCCCAAGTAGAGTAAGAAAGGCCCTTAGTGTGGTTGCCCAAAGTGGCTCATAGATAGTTGTTAATTAAGAGCAGGGAGCTTGAGACTCATCCATAGCAAAAGATTGTCGCAATTGGTCTATTTCAAAGCTCTCCATAATAATGGCATAGCCTCCGATGAAGCAAAATTACTTGTCTAACACTAGTATGAAATTGTGCATCTCCTTCCCTAGAAAGGGCACGAATTTGATTTTTGGGCATTTCTAATGTATCCTTACCAAAAAAAAAAAAAAAAAATCTTCTAATTAAGTGACTACCGATAATGTAATTTAATTAAGTAATTATCGATATTCGATTAATTTAATTTTTTACATAAAAAATTTACTTGTCAAACCTTCCAAATGAACGATTTGCACAATCAAAGTACACCGAGAGAAGTCCCATAGTCTTTCCAACCAAACCCTCCAATCCAATGACGGCCCATCGTTTTATATAGTGTTAGTTTCTCTCAAATTCAAATCTAAACTTGAAAGGCATACTATGAAGCACAGATACTTCGAGAATTTTACTATACTCATACTATAGGTACTTACCGAGTACTAATAATCATATCGATAGGGCTGCATGTGTATCGGGTACTCGAAATATGTACAGGGTACTTTTTATACATTCTTTGATAGTTAGTGTAGTGGCTCGGATTTTAATACGTATTGGATTGGTGTAAAGTGGTGTCCGTCACCTTAAAACTTGTGTGGTTGTCGAACTCTTGGTATAGATGGGTTGGCAAATAAACATTAAATATTATAATTGAGGACCCTTGGGTGATGTTTGGAACCTTGATTGAAGCCTTAACAAGTATTAGACAAGATTAGATCAAAAGCCCCAAATTTGAGTTTTTGTTTTTGCCAACCTTCACTCTTTAGCTCTTTTCTCCATCCATACTTTGAATTTGAATGTGAGGCTAGAACCATTGGAAAGCTTGTTTCCGGGGCTTCGGTTTGGACACAAGAACGACCTAAAACGGAGTCTGAACAAGAGAGTTATATTTGTTTGAATTCTTAGTGCCTCTGTTGGTTTTCTATAGGGTCGACACTAGTCTGGGAAAGGTCGACCCTCTTATGTTGTAGAATTTGTGTGTTGGTTGCTGGAAAATAGGGTCGACCCCCTCTTGTCTAAGGGTCGACCCCCCCTTGCTTGTGCCAGATTATGTTTTCTACCTAAAGGGTCGACCCCTCTGCCTGAAGGGTCGACCCCTGCGTGTTTGTTTGTTTGGTTTTGTTTTGTTTTGTTTTTTTTTTTTTTTTTTTGGGGAGGGGGTTTCAAATGGGCCCTTCCTTTGGAGGGTTTTGGGCCTATTATTTTATTGACCTTAGGGCTACTTCTGTACTACTATAAATAGGCTTCAAGCATGGTTTCATTTCACTTTTCTCCTCTTTTTTCCTCTCAAACCGTGAGCCTCTCTCATCTCTCTCTAAACCCATTTTTTTCCCACTTAGATTGCTAGATCTACTCATCTTGAAGCATCTTCTCATCTAGGTCCCTTGAGGAAGGTTGTAGAGCGCGCCAAGGGCTTTCAATCTATCCAAGTGGATCGTGTTTTCGTTGAAGTCGAAACTTCGGGTTTCTCTCTCTTCTTGCTTAAGGTAGCGATTTTCCTTACTTCTCTTCAATATTGTCTTGTGGATAGATGGGTGATACTTTTTATTGCATAAAACCCTCATTTTGAAGAGATTTTTAGTAATGGCATGTGAAGGGAGGTAGGGTTTTTGATTTATGAAATTTGAATTGATGATTTAAGTGGAATATATAATGTTTGGGTCATGAGAATGTGGTTTTGTGTTAAATAGCAAAAAGCCCTAATTTATGTTTTACTCTAGTTATGGAATCTATGTTGGGAATAAAGAAAGGTTCATTTGACATTTGATTTATGGAATTGAGTTCATGTTTTGTAGAAGATGAGAATAAATTATGATGAATAATGGTTAGAAAATAACTATTGTATAAAAATGTTATTTTGAAGACATTAAGATGAGTAATTAAATTAATTAATTGGGGACAATTTATGATGATTATTGTGTTATGAAATTGAGTATGAAGATTTGATAATTTTGTGGAAAAGTTAAACGACCATTGAAATATAAGAATTGAGAATGCTTCTAAAAAATGTGCCAAATGCTCTTAGAGGATGTGTTATTGGATGAATTTTGTGATAAAAATAATGAATGTTATTATTGGTTTTGTTGGGATTGTAACAACGAATGACTTGATGAATACTAGAGAATGGTGGAAAATAATGAGTACGTGTTCTTGAGCTAATAAGTAATGGAAATGATAAATGAATGTGTTGGCTTTGCCCACAAT